TTTTCCTATAAGCTTTGTATCCCCAGCACTTAAAATTTGTGATTTGAACATAGTGGGCATTTAATAAATGCCTATTAGATTGAATTAATTGCGGCTGGGAGTAATGTGAAATAAAACTGGAAAGGCAGAGTGGTACCAGATTATGGAAGGCTTTGAATATCAGGCGTATGAGTTTGAATTTGACTGAGGAGGCCTTGGAGAGACTCTGAATACTATTGAGCAGTGGCAGGGCCAGATTTTTTTTTTTCTTTTTGGTGAGGCAATTGGAGCTAAGTGACTTGCCCAGGGTCACACAGCTAGTAAGTGTCAAGTGTTTGGTCTGAGGATGGATTTGAACTCAGGTCCTCCTGACTCAAAAGGCCAGAGCTGTATCCACTGCGCCACCTAGCTGCCCCAGCCAGATCTGTTCTTTTTTTTTTTTTTCCTTGCTGGGCTATGGGGTTAAATGACTTGCCCAGGGTCACACAGCTAGTGTTATGTATCTGAGATCGGGTTTGAACCCAGGTCCTACTGACTCTAGGGCAGGTGCTCTATCCACTGCGCCACCTAGCTTCCCAAGTGGGAAATATATATATATATATATATATTTTTTTTTAGAAAGTTGAGGAGGGGGGCAACTAGGTGGTGCAGAGGATAGAGCACCATCCCTGGATTCAGGAGGACCTGAGTTCAAATCCGGCCTCAGACACATAATACTTACTAGCTGTGTGACCCTGGACAAGTCACTTAACCCCATTGCCTAGCCCAGAAAAAAAAAGGAAAGTTGAAGAGGGCAAAGAAGCTAGGTGGTACAGTGGATAGAGCACTGAATCTGGAGTCAGGAAGACCTGAGTTCAAATCTAGCTTCTATCACATCCTTTTTTTTTTTTTTTGCTAGGCAGTGGGGTTAAGTGACTTGCCCAGGGTCACACAGCTAGTAAGTGTCAAGTGTCTGGTCTGAGACTGGATTTGAACTCAGGTCCTCCTGACTCCAGGTCCAGTGCTCTATCCACTGCGCCACCTAACTGCCCCCAGATTTATTCTTAAGAAAGATTATTCTGTCTGCATTATAGAGGATGGGTGGGATTACAGATAGATTAGAGGGATAATATAATGGAAGTGGGGAGATCTGTTAGGAGGTTATTTTTTGGGTAGAGAGGAGTGTTAATGAGGGCCTGAGAGAGGGTGGTGACCATGAGAATAGGCTGGAGGGCATTCCAGAGAGGTTGTGGAGGTCTAATAGATAGGACCTTTTAATTGATTAGACATAAGAGGTAAAAGTCAACAATAACCTCTTAAATTTTGAGAACAGGAGACTGGGTGAATAGTGGCACCACATGTAGAAATAGGGAAGTCAGAAGGAGGAGCTGGTTTAGGAATTCATAGGATCATGGATTAGAATTAGAAGAGACTTTAGAGGACATTTTGTCTGAAATCCTCATTTTTTTCAGATAAGGAAGGATTGAATGACTTAGATAATGGCAGACACAGAATTTAAACCTGGGTCCTCTGACTCTGGGTCCATTGCATCGTGCTGCCTCTCAGTAAAACAGAATAAGCTCAGTTTGGGTTGTGTTGAGTTTGGGTTCTAATGACATCTCTCTCCCTTGGGTCATATATAGCTTCAGTGAAGATGGCAATCTCTGATTGATCAGAGAGAAATGCCAAGAACAGGTTAAGTCTCCTGCTCTTTATAATTTGGCTGAAAATTAAATGAAATGTGGTTCTTTTAGAGGACCTCCCAACTGACCAATCTAATACTTCGCTGTCTTTGGATACAAGTTTCTTTTCAGGTATAGAATATATTTACATTTTCAACATGATGTCAATAACAAATTGTGTGCCAGAAAAGTGTAATGCTTTCGTTGGGGCTTTGTCTACGATTAGATTTTACTAAATTACAGAATACAAATATTAGGCAATGACTCTTTGCTTTTAATTATTCAATTTCATGGTAGATCTACATAGATCAGTAATTATAAAATCAGTACCAATATGGTTACCAAAAAACTACCTGATCATCTTAATCTTCTAACTTGGAGTTTAGGTGGCTCCATAATTACCTAAGGTTTTTGGGTTGAGCATAAAGGATATTTCAAAGGAATGTCGAATGATGTGTAATTACCCTGTAATTACAAGGTATTTAGACAGTGATTCTATTCCATTTAGCTAGATAAACAGAAGAAAAAGACCTGGAGAAAATAGGTGCTTGCAGAGAAAGAGAGTTGATCCCAGGAAGCCACTGGGGTCATTCTGTGTGTCGTTGACCAATCCTGGCTGGTTTCTTATTAAGTTACCCTCTTGTTTTAAGTACGCCCCTTGCCTGTCTCTCTCCTTATGTTGAGTAAAAATACAATCGTTTTCTTTTGGATGGGTTCTCAGGTTTGTTTTTTTCGTTCTCCTCTTCCAGCCCTGGACAGGTCCTGTGAGTAATCGAGTCTGCCGTCCTGGAAACTGGATGAGCTTGTGGCTGAAAGGAATTATTTGAGCTGATCGTGGGAAATCGAACAGTGACAGGAGGAGGAAAAAGAGAATAGAGAGAAACCGACACATCTGAACAGCCGGCTGGGACACTGTGCATACAAATGCAGGTTGTAGCCTGTTTTCTGTTTCAGCTCATTACAGAGGAACACATCAGAGGCAGGCAGCATGAGGGCCGGGGACGCAGAAGGCCAAAATTGTTGTCTTTCTCATGGTGCTCGCCACTGGAACAGAAAGCATTCACACGCTTTCAAGATACTATGGAATCCAAACAGATTCCCTTTTTAAAATGTACATCATCGGGGAAGAATTTTGCTAGGTGGTCCAAATTCCCTTTTCATGTTGCATCTCCACTCCCAAGAAATTGGAAAAAAATCCTTTGAGTGGGTGCGGGGCATGATGGATCCAGAGGTGAGCTCCCTCTACTGGTGATGGGAGGGGGCACAGCACCTGAGGCCTCTGAAGCCTGCTGCCTTCAGTGATGGTGTAGCATCCCTGAGAGAGAAGACAGAACACAGGGGGCCAGCTTATTCCTTGCCTCTGGATGGATGTGGGGAGGAGGAAAAATCAATGTTTTCCAAATGAGAAGGGACAGAGAACATTTTGTGTTAGAGCTTCTTGGAGTGTTACAGATAATGGAGTGAACCAGGGCCAGGGAACTCTGAACAATGATGAGGAATCTTAGATTCATTCTTTCCCAAGCACTTCGTTTATGAGCTCCTACACCCTTTCCCCCTTTCCCCCACTGCATCCCCTGCTGCAGCACTCACTCCTTTCCCACTTATTAGTGGGTATCATCAGGCCTTTGGCAACATTTCCTGGGAGCCTGCAGCTGGGCTGACACTGATCAGTATGTGCATTGGAAATGTGTTTGTGAGTGTGCAGTATATTAAGTTAGCATCCAGCTCTGGGTATTATATAAGGCTTTGTTTGTCCTTTAGGGAACTATCCATAGAGGCACCAAGAAAAGAAGTGGACCCTTAAGAATTCTACCTGGGGTCTTGTCCCTTTGCTCCAGGATCTATTCCACATTGGATGTGCCATGACCCAGGCTAAAATCATATTGGATAGGTAGCAGATTCATCGTGTCTCATTGCTAGGTAACCTATGGAATGAGAATGCTGCAGTTCTTATAAGGTACTAGTTTATAAATAAATGAACATTCATTAATGCTAAATTAAATTAGAATTACATTTCCTACCCGGTTTTGTTTAGAAGGCAGAAATAAGTGGATTGGCTGTGTGATTTTGCTGCTGATGCTGTAACATGGAGTCAAAAGGTGATATTGATACTAATAATAATAATAATAATGATAGTAATTTTCACTTTGCTGGTGCCTTTTGTACCAAGATCTTAAAGCAGATATTACCACTTTGCTTTTGTAAATACTCATTGAGGCTCATAGGCTTGCATGTGGTCAAATAGATGGTCAAGGGTAGAGTATGAGACTTACAACCTCCATCTCATTGAACTTGCGCTCTCTTCAGGAAACAGAACTGGAATAGCAGTCAGGGGGCTTGGGTTCTAATCCTGTCTACTGATAACTAGCTATAAGACCTTGGGTAAGTTATTTCCTCTCTTTGGACCTCATTATCTTCTGTAACATAAGGGGTTTAATACCTGTAAGACCTCTCCAGGCTCTAACATTCCATGATTCTTTGTTAACATTTTTAAAAGCCAATAAACCTTAGTTGTATTGCTTATAAAATACTGTGGTTCTGACCTTCTTGTGGTAAATGTGTATGCAACTTGGGATCACTTCTCTCAGTATCTTTTTTTTTCTTTAAATGAGACCTGGATTTACCCTGTAGAAATAAAAGAATTTCAAATAAAAGCACCATTTCCTTAAACTTTATACTTTATTCAATGAAGTAAAGCTTGTTTTGGATTGTGTGTTTTCTTCTTAAATTGAAATCCAGGAGTGGGTCAGGCACCTGTCCACAGCTTTACTGTCGGGTTTCTAGAACTTGGGCTTTTGTCCACATTCTTCTGTGGCAGAGCCCATCAGTTCACTGCAGAGTGAAGCAAGAGAAATTTGTCAGCTGTTCTGTCAGCCTGTCCTAGGAGAGAAAACTCCCAAATCTTAAAACATTAAAAAAAAAAACAAAAAAAAAACCCAACAACCCAGGAGGAAGGTCTGGCAGCCTCCAAGTCTAGTTAAAGGGATAAGAAGGAGGCTTCAGGAGCTGCCATCTAAGCTCTACCTCTCAGATGTCTTCATAGCCTGGGGGAAGTCACTCAACCTCTCAGTTTCTCCATCTCTAACCAGGCTTATTTTCTTCTCCCAGGATTTGCGAAAATTCATTAGTCAAATGATATCTGGTATCTGGAACTTTAACCCAAACAGGGTCCTGAACTTCCTTAAGGCCAAATGGAATCCAGAGTTTTGATTTTCAGAATGGGTGGGATAATGCAGACTTTCCCATCAAAATTCAGGCAACAGTTTGACCTCTGGGAAATCACGTGGTCCTGGTTTTGTTTAGTTTAAAGAAATGAAAAATGGTTGGACTAAGGGGAGGGTTGTGAGGTGAGTACGTTGTTCATACTCCCTTGCCTGTCTCCATCTCCCCCACCCCAGCAGAAGAAGGGCACAAAAATGGGGACAGAGACACTGAAGCTGGGGCCCGGGTGCTAAAGGGCCTGAGAATCCTGCTTGAACAGCCGTCAGCAACAATCATTTGCTTGCAGCGGCCTGTTATTAGGCTCCCCTCGGAGATGAGGGTGCACGGGCAGGAGGAAGACAGCTTAATGTTCTTAAGTGTAAAGCAGAAAAACAAATTGCAGTCCGTAAGTGGAGCAAACCCAGCTTGGCTGGTGCTTCTGGAATATAAATACCGGAGCAGCCCTGACGGGGAGGAGGCGGAGGGGCGGGAGGACAGGAACTGAGACTTAGAAACTCAGAATCCTTACCGTTCTGGGTGGACAGCAACACCTCAGTCAGCAGCTCTTCCAGGACGCCCCGATATTTTTCCAGCTGCCTGGAGTTCATCCTTATTCCAATTTCTACAGGAGCAGTCAGCTGTGAAATAAGGCAGAGTTAACAAGAAAGGAATATGCACAGAGAAAGTGGTTAACCCTTGGGTGCCCTACAGGTAGAAGGAAGGATTGACTCTAGGGGACTGAGCATATCTTCCTCCTTTACCCTGGGGCTTTCTCTGTGCTGCTTAGGTAGCCATGGGGATAGTTAGGAATTGAAAAGCCCCTTTGGTGCTGTTTTTAAACTAGGGTGCCAGACTCTCTGGCACACTGCCTAGGGGTACAGCAGAGAAACTACTCTGTTGATTTTACTAACAGGATAAACAAACCTCCTTTGGTGGCAGATGATTATGTGTGTGTGTGTGTGTGCCTCTCCCCACCTCCCAATGCGGGCAAGGGAGCTGAAGCTGGAGGGAGCTGAACCTTGAGTTTCCCCGCAGAGATTCAACATGAGCTAGCTCCGTGAACTTATTTGGGGGAGAGACTATGCTCTCAAGAGGCCCGGGAATTAGGGGAGAGGCAGCCTTGGAGTATCACAGGAGTGAAGCCCTGGTAGGCCCGGGGCTGAGGAGTGATCAGAAGTGAGACTGATAGGTTTAAAGCAGAAAGGCTGATGTGCAAATCTGGCCCAAACAGCGGCCACCAGCAGGGGAGGATGGTGCAGAAGGGAGGGGGCTAGGTTTTGAGTCAGGAATGTAATAGACTCAGACTTGGAGAACCATAAGATGTCAGAACTGGAAAGGACTTTAGAACATGTTAAATATAACAGAGAATGTTGGAACTGGAAGGGACCTTAGACACCATCTAGTCTAACCTTATCATTTTGTAAGTGAGGAAACTGAGGCCCAGAGAAATAAGAAATGGGAGAATTTGTGGGCAGGGCACCTGAGGCAAAAGACACTATTTTCTATAATTCTTGTGGGCCTGGACTGGTCTGGCTTTGAATCATGGAATCTCAGGGCTGGAAGGGGCCTCAGAGACCACCTATCTCTTTCAACCTCCTAATCCTATGCAGGATCAAATGGAACTCAGAGGGGGTGTGACTTGCCCAAGCTAACAAAGCAAATTAATGCCAGGGCCAGGAATAGAAATAGCGGGGCTATTTCTATAATGCTATGATGCATGCCTCTCTTGTGCTGAACTGAGTTGGTCTCACGGCTCTATAGGGAAAGACTTATGTCTCCAAGAGGCAGTCCTGAGGTTCAGAAGGTTCCCCTGATTCCTTGAGAGGACTCCCCTGAGAGAGCTTCTGCAGCCTGAGCCTATCAGTTGTCATGTCCCATATCTCGCACATTTCCCGCCTATTGGAAGTAGACTTGAGGTGTGCCGAATGCATCATCCAGAATGTGGGATTAATAGATGGTAGTAGAAGGCGATCACCTCCAGGACTTTTATTTTATACCAGCCTCCTGCCACAGTTAGGTCCTCAGGGCATTGTACCATGGTACAATGGAGAGGGTACTGGACTGGAAGTCAGTACTAATTTGCTGTGTGACCTTGAGCAACTCACTCCCACCCTCTGAACCTCAATTTCCTCCTTTATAAAATTAAAGCATTGTACTAGATGGTTTCTCAGGTTCATTCTAGCTCTGACACTCCTTGATTTTCAAGCAGCCTGATCTTTGTTCATATCTGCCAGGTTACAACATCTTATTCTCATACGAACAGCATAATATAGTGAAAAGCATACTGGCCTAGGAATCCATCAGGAGTCAGGAAATATGGCTCCTAGCCCTGGTTCTTCCAGTGACAGGCTATATGATTTTGTCCAAAGTACTTTACCCACTTAGCCCTCGGTTTCCTCTTCTGCTAAATGGGGGTGGTGGTGTTTGGGTCACCTCTAAGATCCTTCTAGTTCTGACATTTTATGATTCTCAATCAGAAGCTCAAATGGCCCAGACTTTTGCCCCTCAGTAGCTATCTTACTAGATTTTGCTCAGAAAGTATTTGGTGTGGTGCGGAAAAGTACTAGACTTGGAATTAGGGGCCTGTGCTTGAATTCCCTGGTTAGTACAGCAGTAATTCTGTCTACCTGTTATGTTGTAGACTGGGATTTGATTAATTCCTAGTAGGGGAAGGAAGTGCAACCTTATTTGAGAGGCAGTGGAGAATGCTGGAGCTGGAGTCTGAGGGCCTTGAATTTGAGTTCTGACTCTACCACTTACTGATACTGTGTGAACTGGTTGGAGCAAATCACTTAATTTCTCTGGGCCACAATGGTTTCCTCCTTTGTAAAATGAGGGGTTTGGACTAAATGACCTTAAAGATCTTTTCCTGGAACTGAGGATGCTAGCCTGGAGAAAAGAAGACTTAGAGGGCATATGATATCTATTTTAAAGTATCGGAAGATCTGTTGTATGGAGGAGGAATTAGACTGATTCTGTTTGGCCCCAGAAGGCCAAACTCTGTGCAGTGGGTAAAAGTTACAAAGAGGCTAATTCTGGCTTGAAGTCAGGGAAAGCTTCTGAACAATAAAAGCTACCCCAAAATGAAATGACCATTTGTCAGGTTGTGGTAGAAAGCATTCTTTTTTTGGGGGGGAGGGGCAGGTTGCATTAGATGATTGCTTGAGGTCCTTCACGACTCTGAAATTTTGTGATTCTTTGATTCCACCTCTAAATCTATAGCCCTTCCTCTGTAACCTTGAACAAGGCACTGAACTTCTCTGGGCTCGTTTTATCACCTGTAAAATAAGGAGGTTGGACTGGATAGTCTGTGAGGTCTAACTCTAACCCCAATTGGCACCTCAAGCGTGAAGTACTGGGCTGGGAGAACAATCCCTCTCTGACTGACTCAGTTGGCTAGTTTGTACCCCAAAGCCAGATTTCTGTCCCCTCAATTGTCAGCATCAGTCTTCCCCATCTTGGAGATCCATCCCTTCTTATGAACTGGGCTGATCTCTGGGCCTGATCCTTACCTTGATCATTTCATTCTCTTCCTCCTTATTGAACTCCAAGAGAGCAATAGGATCCTCTTCCTCTGATCTCTGCTGCACACTCAGAGATTTCTTTTGCCCTTTATTCCTTTCCCTCTCCTGGAGGAGGCACAACAGAGCAGAGCGTTAGACTCACCCTTCCTTGCCCTAAGCCCCTCTCCACATTCTCTCATCTCCTACCACTACCGGCCTAGTGGCTGCCTCTAGCAAAAGTCTCCCTTGGGCTATTGAAGAATGTGTAGTCAGCTCTGGAACTCTCTTGGGGGGGGGCAAGCACCTCCCCATCCCACCACCCTAACCACCCTCCAGGCATCCTGGGTGGGGACAATTTCGAAATCCAGTTGTTCAGAAATAGTCCTTGGGGTTGAGCAGCCAAGAGGTGCTGGAACACTGTTCACTTCTACTTAATGCACTGCACTCTGATTGTTGTTGTTAATTAAGTTAAAATGCTTAAAATAATTGTCACCCTTCGTGCATATTAAGTAGAAAAAAATGTGTTTTGAGCAAGGAGCCTATGAAGATCTGGAGAAAGACAGAGCAGCCTGTGTGGGAGCTGGAGAGGGGGAGGGGAGGTGGCCTGTGTGTGCCACATCCCTGGGAGGTGATTTATAAGAGCCAAGACAGAGAGATGAATTATGGAGGAAGGAGATTGCAGCTTCTTCATAAAATTCCCCGCGCCTTGCAATTACGAGGAGAAAAACCGTAGAGCAGATTAATGTAAAGTGTCCTTTAGTTGCCGTTTTGCTATTTTATGTTCTACTGAGTTTGACTGTTTCAGTCCAGCCCCAAATCTTGCTTGGTGTCCTTCTCCCAAGGTCCCTGAGCGCTGTAGATCAGATACATCCCAGCCTTTTATAATTCCTTTGGTTTCTCTAATGACACTCTTAGGATTCCTCTCTAGGCATGTCTTCAGATGTGTCTATTCCAGTGCAATTGATCTACCCTTCAGTAGAGTACGCTAACATTTGTTGTGACAGCGCCTTAAAGAAGCCATCAGAGCTCCTCCTCGCCTTCTTCATTCCTTCCCAAAAGAAGGGCTTTGAATGCCACCTCAAAGAGCTGCTTTTTCTTCTGGGATCCGAAGAATGTCCCCCTTTTCTTTCTGCTTGTACCTTCCATATCACACATGCCACAAGGGAGATTTGGGATAGGAGGCAGGCCTCTGTGGCACCAGTGGATTTTGTGTGTTTATCTTTCTGTGTTGGAGCCTCAGGCTCAGTCGGGAAGAGGGCTAGGGATGTGGTGAGGGAAATGAGATGTGTTATGTGACTTTCATTCCACCAGCTCCTTAGGTCACCAGATTAAGGGATCACAAGAAGCTGCCTACAGATGCCACCAAACAGGATCTCAAACCAAGAGTTAGGAGAAATAGGAACCAAGACATAAGAGTGTGTGAGAGACAGTATGCTCTCGTAGGCCCCAGGCTTAGACTCAGGAGACTGCATTAATAAGATCCTGACTCTGCTGCTTATTACTTATGTATTGCCTTGGACAAGTCACTTATACAATGGGAAGATAGTTCACTGGCTCTGAATTTGGAAGACCTGGTTTCAAATCCCACTTGTTAGACCTTGGGTGAGCCAACTTCCCCATACCTGGTCCTCAGTTTCCTTATCTATAAAATGAATGGGTTAGACTAGATAAACTCTAAGTTCCCTTCTAGCTCCAAATTGATGATCTGATTATCTGTGATCCAACCTCTAAGAGCCCGTAGGGAAGGCTGAAATGAGGATGATAATACTTATTATACTGCTTCCCTCACAGTGCTGTTATAAAAATTGCTTTGTGCTGCCCCACCCCCCTTTTTTAAAAAGTCTGGGGCTTTGACTTTTATCAATGTAGGGAATTCTCCACATGGAAATTCCTTCCATTGATTCATTTCACCCACTCCTCTATAACTTAGGGTTTTAGAGAGCTGCCTGGGGCACACTGAGTGAGAGGGAGATAACTGGTTTGTGTCAGACAGAGAACTTGACCTCACATCTTCTGACTCCAATCTATCAAGTATGGCATCATGCCTCTTGCAATCTTTAAAAATGCTCTATAAACGCATATTGCTCCTATCATGTATGACTCTCTTCCTTATGTAGGGGCTGTTGTCTTATTTTCATCAGATCTGCCCTGATTGCCTTGGGGTTTGGTAAATATGAAGAAGCCCTTCTACTTCTGGTGACATTAGGAAGCTCTTTCCCTTTTCTGTCTCTGTGATTTTTCAGACATTTTCCTAGTCTAAAATGCCATCCCTCCCTCTTGTTCACCTACCCATGCATGTCCTGCTTCCTATTACTTTGGGGATAAACTCTCTGTCCTATGAACTCTTATAGTCCTTACTAGCTATGTTACCACTCTCTTGGAATTTGTCACACCCTGCCACCAGCTTGGGTATTGTCACTTAGTGTTTCCCCAAGTTTTCTGTCTTGTCTCCCCAGGTAGATGGTAAGGTCCTTGAGACCAGGAGCTTTGTTCTGTGTTTCTCTGCGTCCTTCTACAGTGCCAGGCACATACTAGATGCTCAGAAAATAGTGGCTAAATTATTTACATTTTCCTGCAGAGGATGGGTAGAGACAGAAAAAGGTGAAAAATCACATTTTTCATACCTTATCAACAACACTAATACAAGGTTTAGTCAACAAGGATGTTGGAATTCTGGGTCAAAATAAAATTTTGGGGTGATCTGTTTCATTTGCTAATGCTTCTTCCGTCTTATTGTAATGGGCAATTCAAAGAAGATGACATTGAGGTATCTCTGCTATATATAGGGAAGACCAGAGGTGTACCAGAGCCATCTCTTACTAGCTTGAGAAAGCCAATTGTTAAATTTTCATTTACCACTCAGAAACTGCTACCAGTCAAGACTTGATTTATTATTCTGTTGATTGGCTAGACTTGTCAAGACTTAAGAACATAATGGAGAAAATGGTGATAATGCAGATTAAACTTAAAAGTGTGTCAACCACACTTGTTTTTCCCCCAGAGAACCTGTTGTTAAATATTTACTAGTATGCCCGTGGGGAAGGCTAACAACCTCTTAGCTTTCAGTAAGGGCTAAAAGTTGCCTTCATCAAACCAAGAGAAATGAGCAGCAAATCCAAGTTTACCTGCATTCTCTGGACATCACTGTATGTGAAAATGGGGACAAAGCCTTCTGTCTGGGCAGCCAGCATGGTCGCTGTGTACATCACAAGCATAGTAGCTACAAGCTTGCTGGACACCATCCTGGAGACTAGAAACAATAAAGGGAATTGGTCATGATACATGGGAGCAACAATGAGGAATCATTTTAGCTCCTTTACAATTCACAGTGTATTTCTTACAACTACTCTCTGAGTTAAATAGTACAAAGTATTATTTTATACCCATCTTACAGATGAGGAAATTGAGACTCAGTGAGACAAAAAAGGTTGATTCGTAGGTTCATAAATTGAGAGTTAAAAGGACCTTAGAGAGATCTAGTCCACACCATTAATTTTACAGTTAAGGGAACAGGTCCAGAGAGCTTGGGTGACTAGCTCATGGTCACACATGAATCAGTGGCAGAGCCATGATTTATAACCTAGATCTTCTGACTCCCAAGTCCAACACTTTTCCCATTACACCACCCAGCTTTTCTGAGTGGGATGGAAAGATCATTGGGTGAGGAGGCAGATGACCTGGGTTTCACCCCCATCCCCTCACTAGTTGTGTAAACTTGGACAAGTCACCTCCTTACCTTGGGTCTCAGCTGCCTCATTTTTAAAATAAGAATAGTACTTTACTTGCCCCTAGACATGGGGCTGGACTAGTTGTATTTGTATCTGTTCCAACTTTCAGATCTATGAAAACCATCCAAAGACCTTGGGGATAAATGTATAATAGCTTAACAAAAACTAAAGAACAGCCATTCTCCATCTTTCTGACTCTTTCTCTCTCTTTCTGACTATCCTCTATGGCAGCCTTACGTGCGTTGGTTGCAGCTCAGGGCAACAGTGGATAAAAGAACACTGAGAGGCAGGGAACCTGTGTTCTGGTCCAGGCTTTCCCATTACTTTGGAATGTGACCTTGTTTAAATCAATTTCATTCTCAAGCCTCTATTATATGAAGGGGTTGAAATAGTTTCTAAGATCCTTTGTTCTAATGTTCAATGAATTTATCCATTGAAGTAAGAGTGGATGGATCCCCTCTTCTTCAGAGAATTTCCCCCTCCCTCTGATTTCTGTAAATCCTTGTGATAAACCTGATCACAGCAGCCCACACTGAGCAACACTCCTGTGTGCAGCTTGTACCAGATTAAAATGCAATTGAGAAATATTTAACAAAATAAATAAAAATATAATAGAAGATAGATAATGTTAATTTTTGGTCTTCTAAATCAGTATGATGTCTGCAGGGATGTATGGTCTAGTGGCCCTGTTTCTATTTGAGTCTGATACACTGTTGTAGAAACCCTCCACTGGACCAGTATTTCCTTGTCCAGCTTCCATGCTGCCCCACCTGGCTGGGTTGGTTAAAGCAGGAGAATGTACTGGATGACCACTCGAGACCTCTTCCAGGTTTAAGAATCTTCCTATTGTGCCAGCATTTGCTGTCAGATGGTATAGGCTGGGTCAGGGCTCAGTGGGCATTAGGAAGAAATGACCCACAGCCCAGGGCAACCATCTGCCTGACTCATGAAAGATCCAGATGGAATTGACAGCAGTGATTCCCTCCAAAGAGAAAATTCAGAGTGTTTCCCCAGGCCCACTCAGATGGATGCCAAGGGCTGCCACCCAGAACAGCATTCAGGAGCCCAGGGTGGGAAACCCTTTCGCTTTGGTGGGGGCAAAGCATTGGAGCCGAAATGAACATTTTCTCAGCATGTGCATTTCTGAGCCTCTGTTTGGCAGTCATCCAGAAACATCAGTGCTGGCAAAGCCTCCCTTCAAGCAACTGGGAGTCCTTGGAGCCTTGCAAATGCACAGCAAAGTGTCAGCATGGATGGATGTGGTTCTACCTGAGCCCTGGGGAGGGAGCCTTCCTAGGCTGAAGACACTCCCTATTGCTGGTAAAGAAATAGTGACTCCACTGGGGATGGAAAGCTCCCTTGCACTGTAGGTTGCCAAAGCTAAGGTGATGGTGGTAGGTTGTTGGGGTCCATTCCTTTGCCTACAGATGCTTTTATTGCTAGAGTAGGGATGAAACCAAAGAAAGGATAATTGGAACAAGGTCTATCAGACCTATAGTGTCCAGGAAGGCCCTGCAAGATACATAGCCTTGCTGGATGGTTTCCCCAAGTTAATTGTTTGCATTGACGTAGCACTTTATATATAGTTATCTTGGATTAGTCTCTTATACTTAAAAAAAGTGATTTCACATCCATGATTCCATTACAACCCTGCAAAGTCCTGTTTTTACAGAGGGAGAAGTCAAGGCTGAAAATGGGGACGTGGTTTGCTCAGGAGGGAGAAGCAATGTGATATAGTGGAAAGAATACTGACTTTGTGGAGTCAAAAGCCTCGAGTTTGCATCTCTGCTCAAGCAATTATTAACTGCATGATCTTGGACAAGTCACTTCTCTGATTCTAAATATCTTCATATGCAAAATGGGGTATTATCTACTGGTTATTATGAGCAAAGCTCTTTGTAAAATATTAGACCTACATAAATAGTAAATAAATATTAAAACTACACAAATGTGAGTCATTATTATTATTAGTGGTACTATTATTATTATTGCTCAAAACCACACAACAAGTCAGTGAGAGCTAGAATTTGGTGGATCTGGAGTCCCCGGCAGAGATGGAGATAAACTGATGAACTGTTTACTTGGGAGGGTCTCTAGTACACACCCCCTGAGCCCTATGGACTTGTAGAGCCTAATCTCAATGATCTCTCAAAGTATCCCTATGGTTAGCCGATAGCTACATCACACAGCAGCAATCAGATAGCAGGAAGGTAGTGATGTTGTCTTTTATCGCTCTTTGGTTACTTCTTACCAGGGACAGCTCAGGTATTTGAAGCACAAGACCCCAAAATAAGTTGGTAGTGGCAGGAGTAGGGAGAAAGGTAGGGGGAAGTGGATCTTAGAGGCAGTCTTGGTAGAGAAGAGGAGTAATTACACTATATCCAGGGTTATCTCTCTCCCCCTGACCATTATATCTAGGGTCAGTTCTCTCCCTCTGGCTGCACCAGATAAGGGACTTCAATAGGCTGGACCCTGATGTGTCTCTGTTGGCTCCAAGCTCCTGTTTAAGCTAGCTTCTGTAATAAAGAAAAGCTTTGCATCTGTCTATACTGGTATCCAAGACTTTTCTGCACATAAAATATCATCCTTCTACGTGAAAGAAAATCTCTGAAGGTTGTGAATTTTGCTTCTTAATCTTGGCCTGATATCTCATAGATTTGAATCTCACCTCTACAGAGGCTGGACATCCATTCTTCTACTTCTTTATTTCTGATATGGTCTATCTCAGTTAGTCAGTCAAGCACTTATTCTGTGCCTGGCACTGTGCTAGGTACTAGGGATAAGAAAGGCAAGAAAAAAATGATCCCTTCTCTCAAGAAACTCATATTCTAAGACAGGAGACAATGTGAAAACAACTATGTACCTACAAAAGCTATACAGTGTAAATGGGGGCACTATTCTCTTCTAATAATAGTAATAGTAATAATAATAATATTAGGAATAGGGACTAGACCTGTGATTTTATTGGTATAAGGAATTCCCAACTGAGGAAACTCCCTTTATCAATGATGGTTCACTTCTGTGCAACTTATAGCCTTAAAAAACTATGAGAACTATGTCATTGATAGGTTAAGTGACCTGCCCTGGGTCATACAGTATGTGTCAGGAGTGGGGCTTAAACTCAGGTCTTCCTGATTCGGAGGCTGACTTTCTATCCACTATAATAATCTTCTAAAATAATAATGATAACTCATATATCTGTACTGCCTTAAGGCCAAGAAAGCTATCCTCACAACTCTGTGAGGTAGAGGGTGCAAATATTATATATCCCCATTTTACAGTTGAGAAGATGAGACAGGGAGAATTGCCTGTAGGTAGGCAGATAGTAAATAGTAGATTCAAACGTAGATGTTTTGACTCCAAGTCCAGGGCTTTTTCCATTACCTCATAGCCACTTCTCTGGCAAAGGGCAGAACATCAGGCTTAATGTTGAAACCTCCTGAGCAAGATTATTGACAATTCAGATTGTTATCCACTCTCAAAAGCCAGCTGAGCCCCCAGGAAGGTTAGGCACAGCAAAGGGGAGGGTCTCTAGGGAAAAGCTATCATCAGAGACATAAAGAGAACTAGAAAGAGAAAGGGGGTGAGCAGAGGCCCAGGGGAAAGGGAGATAGAGATTTGCTGTTCATTTCCAGCCTTGTCAATATTTTCTACCAAATTCCCATGGAGCCCAAACATCTACAAGTCTTTTACCCATCAGAGATGGAAACTTCACATCCTCTGCATCCCACTGACTTTGCAGAGATGCTCTGATCTAGATCCCCGCTTTGTTCTAGAATTAGCATTTCCTTCACTAGAATTGCTTTGTGAGAATCAATACAAACTTTAAATAAAAATGAGCTAAATCCAATTGCCACTCATCTTTTTTATCCAACTGTCTGCCAGCATGTAACCTGTGTTCGTTTACATTCCTCTTTCCTCAGAGGAGGAAAGAAAGCTCTTTGTGGTACAATAAAGCGTTAACTTCCCTGTTCAGTGGTGGGGGATCAGACTTTAATAACACAGCCATGAATTTCCACACTACTCATCTTCCCCAGGATTTCAGGGAGCTTCCTAGCCTTTCTCTCCCTCAGCCTCTTAATTCCCCTGTGCGATCGTGATCTTTTCCCTAAACTACATTGTCTCCCAGAGTAAAACTCGCTCATGCTAAGTGTGGTGCTATAGTCACAGCCTGGGCTCTTGGTTAAATTTAGGCAACCCTTCCTCATGGTTCAGATTCCATCTGCTCATAGATATGACCAAACTGCTTCCCTTTGGGTTAAGATTCCACTTATTCCTTCACAATTTCCCCTTTGAGTAATTAGCCCTTCTGGGGATCTCTACTGGCTACCTCCTGTCATTCCTTTGAGAATCTAGACTTCTGAGTAAAAAGACTGATTGCTGTGTCAATCCACATTCTGCCTAAGTTTGGGTCAGATGTCCCACCTCCAAACTCCCTTCCCTTTCTTCCACCCCAGCCTCAGAAGACCTGGATTCAAATGCTGGCTTTGCCATAAAATAGCTGTGTGACCTTT